TGCCGGTCCCTGGTCTCCAACTTCCTCTGGAACAGGAGGAAGGAGAGGGCAGGTCTCTCACACAGGCAACATACAGATGCCCAAAGCAGCTGGAGACTGGCATGGGTGATGAGAAGGGTGTCATGGCTGTTAGTAAAGGGCCCTTCTCCCACCCTAGGTCCCACTCTACCCAGCCTGGGTAGCTCTTGTGTGAGCTGCAGACCATAAGGAGATTGGAAAACAGGCCCAGGAAAGCCCTGACAGTCTGGGCTTCCAAAGATGCCCAGGGTCCCAACAAAGCCGCAACTTCTGAAATGACACCTCTCTTCAGGGCCTGACAGGGCACAGCTGGTGCAAGCAGAGGCTGACCAAACAGGAAGAGAGTTCCTTGTCAGCCCAGATTCTTCCAATCTAGGGACTGGAAGACCTGCCATCTGACCCAAGGGAGCTGGGCCTTACTGAAGTCATCTCAACCACAATCTTGTCCTCGGCACACAGCGGGACAGCTGCCTACAGGCTTGAGCCGTGATCCTTTATATATCTGTCTGAGCGGCAGGAGGCCGTGCAGCTGTTCCCAGCCGACCACTCTGTTCTAGAGGCTCGAGTTGTCTCTGCAGCCACACCCCGAATTCATCAGACCCCCGGGCATCTGCCCTGGTCCTCACCCTCCTCAGGTAAAGAAAGGTCTGGCTGAGTCCCATGAACGTGTAACAGAAGGGCTTCCACGCATCTGCTCTAGGCCTGGTCTGGGAGGCTGTGGAAGGAGAGCTTCCCGCCTCCAGGCTCCAGGGGGATCAGATGGGCCTGGCACTGGAAGAGTCACAGGCAGGTGGGGTGATGATGACTCCCTTTTAATCAGGGGCTGATGGGAACCTGAGCGGACAGGAAGACAGCACAGGCACCAGCAAAAGGGGCGCCCAGTCCACACAGCAGGCCCCCTTTCTGGCTTGGCTTGGGGAACACCAGACACCAACAGCCCACACATGGGTACTAGATTTCCATGCAAACATCGAGCTCTCCATGTCCCCTGGCAGGCCAGGTGACAGCAGCTGCTCTCCCTCCGGCATAAGCCATCAGGACTCTCCCCCCCCCCCCCAAGACCCAGCAGTATAGCCTGGCAAATCTCAGCCAAAGCTGGGGATCACTCTTGGTCTGCCCGAGGTGCTAAAGGACTTAAACCCTAGGAGGAAGACACAAAGGGCAGGGGTTCAGCAACCCCACACTGGCAATGACCCTTCTGACCCTCACCACACCCTGGAGCCCCAAGAAGGCCCAGCCTGCGTGGTCTCAGGCTATACAGCCATAAACCTCTTCGTACAACAAACTGCCAGCTCCTCAACATACTGTCTGCTGCTTAAATACTTTGATCCCTGGGGTCTTTGAGAACAAGGGTCTTGTGGGCACGTGCCCCGCAGAACTCACTAGGTTTACCTGGCATCACTTTCTCTTTGCTGATGTGCAGTAGCCCCCATGGTCTCCTATAAGTCTCCCCCTTGTACAAAGCTTCCTGTCTCCGGGCCTTTGCACTTGCTGCTCACACACCCTCCACCCCCATCAGTTAGTTAACTGATTCAAAGCCCACACACTGGCTCAGACTCAGGGCAGGGTTGGGAACAGAGGGATGTAATTCTGGTGCTTGCCTACCGTTCTCCTGAGGCTGGGCTCCTTGGGTATTTTGGCGTTTGCTTGTTCCCTAGCATCTGGTTCTACCTTCAGGTAGGGTAAGCCATTAAAGAACTGGATACATAATGTCAATAAATACAAAGCCACTCAAAGTATACCTTCCTTGAGTGCTGCTGAGGGGGTTCCCCCAGAACCCTAATGCTTAGGAGAACAACTTGAAAATGGTTCCAATCTCTCACTTTACAAACGAGGGAACCTTAGACCCAGAAAATAGCTCTGCCCAAAGTCCTTGTCCTGAACACAGCCCAGGGGCAGTTAGCAGCAGAGTGGGACCAGGGACAGCACACCAAACCTGTGACAACCAGCTGCAGAGACGCAGGTCCTTTCAACACGATCTAGGAATCCCCGCGAGCCCTTAGAGGGTCCAGAAGAACCAAACTATTATCTTAAATATCAGGATGGTAGTGGCCTTCGGTACTCTCATTTGCCCAAGAGGAGGAGTGTCGCGTCCACCCTCGACCAGCAAGGAAAAACGCAACACCCGGAGCTCTTCTTGCAGCAGTTTTCAGGACTTTATTTACAGCAATCTATCTCCTCCTCCTTTTTCTTTCTCTCTCTCTTTCCTCTCTCTCTTACCCTCTCTCTCTCCTCCTCTCTCTCTCTCTGGGCAAACCTCTCTCAGCCCTTAAGTAGGCATGGGCTGCCAACCCCGAACTGCCAGGTGGGCACTGCCCATAGGCTCACGCATATGCAGGCAGCTGATAATCATTGCGTGATCATAGCATAGGTCAGGCCTTAGCCATCTCAGGAGTTGATTATACATCTCCATCAAGTGTGACACCACGCAGCTCGCTACAGAGGAGTCTTCGAGAAGATACATAGCATGTGACGACCTCACTACTGTAAGGTTTGAGTACATCGATGTCTCAGCCCTGTTTTCTAATACAGCAACATGGGTTAAGTATAACTTCCATAAACAAGAGCCCTAGAGGGTCCTCAATAATTTTTAGGAATATGAAAGAGCCTGGCGTGGTGGCACAGGCCTTTATTCCCAGCACCCCAGAGACTGAGGCACGTGTCCTGGGCCAGGCAAGGCTAGAGGGACACCTTATCTCAAAAAAAGGAAAAGAATATAAGTGAGTTTAGACTAAGGAGCTCAGAAGTATCTTTGCTCAGTTACACCCAGAGCCCCGCCAGCGTCTCCACCCCCATCCCGAGATTTTCATCTGACGGAGGAAACGGACTTGGAACATATCTGAAAAATCCTAGAACACCTTCCAGCCTTTCTCAAAATACTCTGCCTATCAGCCTGACTTGAAATCCTTTACCAAGCCCACGCTCTTACTGGAGTCTCAGCAGCTGCAGAGCACAGGTGCAACTATTCTGTGCAGATAGGGCAACTCAGCCTCAGAAGAATTAAGGCACCTGCCCAGTGTGATTTACATCTCTGTCTACCCTAACACCAGGGCTGTGCCAAGGACAGGAGACAAGAACCCGGCGCGAGCAGTTCACAAAACAACGGGGTGATTAAGAAACAAGAAAAGTACTTACGCAACTTCCAGGCAGTCTTGGTGACCACAGGGGTGGCCATGCTTCAGGGGGTGGCACCTGAGACCCCCCCACCCACAAAACGGATTGTGCTTTCCCTGTGGGGTGGGGGTGGATCCCCCCCAGACCCGACAATCAAGTTGGCAGGGAGTTCCCACACATCCAGGCAGAGAGTCCTCCTCTCCTGGCCCAGCGTTGCCTGGTGGTTTAGATCATCCGCTAGGAAACTGCAGCCTGTACACGGTGAAGTCTGGATCCCAGATCATGGGCTGTCAGGCGTGGGCCATCTCAGCTCAACACTGGTCTGGAAAACAAGGAGGCAAGTACTTGAGGTGAGTTGCAGCTCCCTGGGTCACCAAAGCCACTTGATGCAGGTCCACCAAAGCCCTCGTGGCCTAGAGCTGTAGTGCACACTGGGCCTGAAAACCTGACCAGGTGAACCTCTGTGACTTAGAGCCCAAAGATGAAAGACCATCCCTAAGTAGCTGGGCCTGGTGGTGTCAGCAACCCTAGCACTCAGGAGCACAGACGGAGGCAGGCGGATCTTCCTCGCTTTGAAAGAAAGACTGACTTGATTTCCCCGAGGCCAAAAGCTGTGCTCCAGGATGCTGACTGTCTTAAGTGTCAACAACTGCAGCTGGACGGAGAGGACCACGTATCTGCAGTTCACGCAGATTTGCACCTCCTGTATCGGATGAGGCGCTGGAGTCCGAGGCTATGTTTAGGGGCCCATGAGAGGCACCAGAAAGGCAGACACACCACACGCACAGAGGGAGAGTGAGAATGTGAGTGTGAAAAGACTGATAGTGAAGGCCTTCGGAGAGGAGCGGTTTTCCAGAGGATTCTGAGGGTCCAGTCCTCTAGCTCCCTCCTTCCCCAGCTCCCAGGAAGGGAACCACTCCCACCTCTTGCTATTCTCAAGGACAGAGCTGGGAACTGTGTCTCAGGTCCAGGCGTGAGTCGGAATGACTCCTCATTTCTAAAAGGCCACTGCATGGATGGAGCCTGCCACAGCCACGGCTCGTCAACGCTCACTACATTCCCTTTCTCCGGTCACCTGCGCTCCCATTCCGGCACACCTTGAGCTCCCTAAATTGACCACACCTCGCCAGACCCTCTTCACACCCCTTCACTCTGCTGCTATCGGAGTTCCCCATTCATTCGCTCCCCTGTTTCTGGAGCCCCAACTCACTGCGGTCCTCCGCACACCCTCGGCTCTGCTTCCGGCCCGCTAGCTTTCCTTCCCCGGCCTCCACACTCGTCTCGCTCATCCAAAATCTGCTACTGGTCTCTCAGCTTCGCCTGACCCTCCGCCCCTCTGTCTTGAGGGGCACCGGTCCCAGCCTTCCCTGGCCCAGAGCCCTCTGCCGGCGCCGCGATTGTCCCCTCCAGGCTCCGCAAACACTAAAGCCATCTTCCCTTCGCCTCCAAGACCCCGGGGGCCACTCTACCTGCAGTTGTAGCTTTGGAGGCCAAGACTTCCCTCCAGGCGCGACCCCCACTTGCCTCCATCCTCTGCCCTGATTGGTCGCTGCTTGACAACCGACCCTCACAACAAAACCTCCGGTCTAGAGTCCCACCCACTTCACTTCTTACACCAATCAGCCGCCACGGTCGCTCCGCCTTCCTCTGAGATTGACCAATAGAAGCAAGCGCATCTGCCGATTTGCGGAGCCACCTGCCTCCTCTTCCCCCGACTTGGACTAATCACGAGAAAGAAGCGTTTACGGCCCGCCCTTAGGTCTTGAAAGAACCAATGCGGGCTTTTATGTCCTTAGTCCCGCCTCCACTCGGGCTACCTTTTTCCGCCCTTTTCCTTCACTTCCCGGAACCCGGTTAAGTTTGAAAAATCCGCGAGCCGCACAAGGTGGCGGCTGCACCAATCCCTTCAGCAACAGCTCGAGATCGGCCAATGAACGTCAGTATTATTGGAGAACCAATTCCGGACAACCAATGGGAAGGGAACTTCTGGAGCAGCGTGAAGTCGCAGTTCTTCCATCTTGGAACAGGGCCGCCCGGACTCCGCCCTCATCTTGAGGTGTTGCCCACGTGGTCTGATCTGGCTTCTGCTTAGTTGCACACACAGGCACACACACCGGCTTGAGTTCCCTGCAGAAACAGACCCTGAGTACGGGTGGAGTCGGTGTTGAATCCAGGAGTGCGTTCCTAGAGTCACGGTGGAAGATGACTGAGTAAGCTTGTGGATGCTCGCGGTCGGAAACTACCGACTAGGGAACCGGAGAAAGGCAGATGATGTGTGCGACAGGTCAGGCAGGTTGAGATCGGGTGGGGGAAATATAACCTCCGTGAGCCGGCACGCGGAGAGGTGTGGGGGGGGGGGGCTCACTGAGGAGGAACTCGCCCCGGCCCATTGCAGAAAGAGCCTCCAACCCTGGTCCGTCCCCCACTCGCGCGTCTCATGGGGGCAGCAGCGCCTGGCGTTCTTCTGCTCCACACGGCAGTAGGAATTCCCCATTTACAGATGAGGAAACCGATGCTGAGGTGAAAAGACCAAACTTCTGGAAGATGGCCCCAGGATTGGAACCTTTAAAGTCAAGACGTGTCAAGTACCTACAAAATGGAAAAACTTTGCAGGGACAAAAGACATCCACCAGCCTTCTGTGATTTGGGAAGTTGGCTCTGAGTAGACTTTGGGGATTACTAAAAGACCTGGATTCGGAGAATAACATTCAATCAAAACTTTGTAGCTTGCTGTTCTTCTCAACTTTTTATTATTAAATAAAAAGTCAAATTCTTGATTTTGACACGTTTTGTCTCGTAAGTATCTGAGCATTATCAATCCCTAGACATTTCAATCATGACAACAATGAACATGACCAATCTCACTACCCCTACCTCTAACGTGTAGATTATATTAATATGATCTTAATCATCCCCAATACACATAATAATTTCTCTAAGTAGGAACAAGACCGAGAATGTAGCTCTGGTAGAAAGCTTTGACTAGTGTGAGGAGGAACTAGGTACAGTCCCCAGCACTGAAAATAAAAACTTACTAGAAGCAAGAAAAATGGCTCAATCTTAGGAGCGATTGCAGTGCCAAGAATGAGTTCAAATCATCACCACCCATGTACACATCTGGGCATGGCTGCATGTGTAACCCAGGGCTGTGAGGAGCAGAGACAAGAGGATTGCTTAGGTGGTGGTGGTGTGTTTCTTAACTAAGAACCTGGCAAGATTTGGCATACTTGGCTCTTTCAAGTTCATCTTACTTCTGTCCTCCTTATTCTCCCCCTCCACAGACACATACACCCATCTCTTCCTTTCCTCCCTCTGTGTCAGGATCTCACTATAAAGATCAGGCTGGCCTTGATCAAGAGCTGGGATTAAAGGCTAGTGCCACCACTTGTGGCTTGAGCCCCCGGGTTGAACCGTGGGTTTGGAAGTAGGTGTTGAAGCCTGGTGGGTTCACCTCTGAAGACAATGACAGTAACCAGTAGTTAGACAGGGAGGAGGAACAAGGCCCTCACGAGCCCCGCCCTGATTCATGATTGCTTATGGATGGGCCCAGGCATGTGCAGGCAATCGTGGCTGCCGTGAGATCATTTGCAACGGCCGTGTCATGCCCTGGAGACTATAGGCCAGGTTTTCTCTACTTTGTTTTTAAAAACAACTTTAATCCCAGCACTTGGGAGGCTCTCTGAGTTCAAGGCCAGCCTGGTCTACAGAAGGAGTTCCAGGACAGGCTTCAAAGCCACACAGAGAAACCTTGTCTCGAGATACCCACCTCAAAAAATTCTCATGTAGCTCAGGCTGTCCTCAAATTCCCTATATAGCCAAGGCAGATCTCGAACCCAGATCCTTCTGCTGCTGGGGTTACAGACATGCACCACTCTACCCAGCTCTCTCTGCTCTTTAACCCTTAGGTCAGGAAAGAATGCCAGTCCCATTCACAGGTGGTAAGCGGAAGGGGAACTTGGATTCAGTTCCTTGACCTCTAACATCAAGCCACCCAATCCTGGGGTGTACTCCTTGGCCAGGCCATTCCCACTTTATGAACTGGCCCACCATCACCACATTGAGCTCTAACTAGACGGCCATGACTGGAACCATCTGGAGACGTTAATACTTGATGTTCCAACAAAGAAGATGACAGAGAAAGACTGAGGGGTGGGGGGGACTGGAGCTTGTGAGTACCAAAGTACAAATGGCAAATAAGGAGTGTGTTTATTTGAGGAAGACTATGAGGGACAGGGAGGTAGCGTGGCAGTGAGGCTGGTGTGGGGTCACAGTAGCCGGGGAGAAGGGCGGGACTCCATTCTCTGGCAGCTCTTGCCATGGTCCCATGAGGGGCATCAAACAAAGCCTTTGACGAAGTCTACCAAGCGTGGGTCCTTGTAGAGCTTTTCCTCCAGTGCCAAGTACTTCAGCGGAGCCAGCTCTTTGTGCCTGAGCAGAGGGAGGCGGGGGAGGAGAAGGTGAGGGATAGCCAAGCTGTCTGTGCTCCCAGGAGTCCTCCTGGCTCTGCCCCCTTACCGATTGAGTCGCTGTTCCAAGATGCGGATTCGGAACATGGCCTGAGAGCAGTAGCTGAGGTACAGGTCCTCCTCCTCGGATGTCAGGGTTACCTGGTTCTCCTGGTACCATTGCTGCTTCTTCTGCAGTTCCTGGGTCTCCTGGGGGCACAGGGAGATGAGCAGGGACACAGTTGTGAACTGATCATCAGCCAGGCCCATAGATTACCAGGCAGCCCCTATCCCCACCTCCCGTGGAGAGGGGCAGAGTTAGAGGATCACAAAAGATCTTGGGTTGGGACTACTGGAGTCATGATTCGAAGGACAAGGTGTGCATGAAATCAGAACAGCCAAAACAGTTAGTCAGGGCTAGGGATGTGGCTTAGTGCATGACCCTGGGTTCCACCCCTAGCTCCTCATACAAAATCAAAGCAGCAGGGTGTGGTCGTGCCACCTTTAATCCCAGTACTCACTAGGCAGAGCCAGATGGCTCTCTGTGAGTTTAAGGCCTGTCTGGTCTATAGTGCACATTCCAGGCCAGCTGGGGCTACTTAATAGGACATTGTCTCAAAAAAAAAAAAAAAAAAAAAAGCAAGGGCGCTGGCTGCTCTCCAGAGGACTGGGGTTCGATTCCCAGAACTCACATGGAGACTCAACAATCATCTGAAACTCCAGTCCCAGGGGATCTGACAGCCTCTCCTGGCCTCTGAGGGCACTAGGTGTGCACATGGCGTACATACATATGTGCCGACAAAACACCCACATACACAAAACAGCTATGTGACCTAGACAAGCTGCTGAGATGCTCAGAGCCCCAAGTAACTCATCTCCAAACATAAGAAGTATTGTGTCCAACTCCACCTGACTCTGCCCTGTGTGTTCTGTGAAGACCGAGACACTGCGTGGAGGCCGCAAGGTATGCACCTCACCTGTCTCACAGAAATGGGCTAAAGACTAGGAGTTAATGTACCACCCCTCAGTCCATCTATCCACAAACCCGCCCATTCATTTCTTTATCCCTCATCTGCCAAATCTTACCTATCTACCCATCAGCCCACTCACTCATCAGTCCACCACCTGCTCACCACCCATCCACATCCCACCTCTAATCCTTACCCACGCCGGCCTGCCCACGTATCCAAACTGCACCCACCCATCCTCTTCATTCATTCCCCCATCTACCCGCCTATCCACGCATATTCACCTACCCGCCATCCATTCACTCATCATCCATCCAGTAATGAAGTGGGGAGAAGTCAGATATTTGGAAGCCCCAGTTACAGACATACTCATCCACGCATCTAGCTCACACATCAGCAACGCCCTGAGTAAAGATTTCAGGACCCATTTTCTGACTGAGGATGGTGAGGTCACCTCCCTGACTTGGGCCACGGTCTCACCTTCTCAAAGCGTGCCTGGATGAGATTAGCCTTGTCGATGAGGCGCTGCTTGAAGTCGCTGAGACACTCGTCCTTGAGGCGCACAGCCTGCCAGCGCGTGAGCTTCTCGCCTGGAGGGAGCTGTGCCAGGAACGGGGCCAGGTAGTCCAGCTGGGCCTCCACTTGCCGCAGGTGCTCCTCGTGCAAGACACGCTCCTATGGACCAGGGAACCAGCTGAAAGAGCACCACATCCTGGGGGCCTCCCGAGCAGCAACGGTACAAAGTCAGGCCCCAAAGCTAGGTCCTAGCAGAGACTTCCTGGGAGAACTAAGTTCCTAAGGATCACCCCTTGACCCAGGTTGAGGGTGATATGTAATTCCTGTTTCTGACGTGAATTCACCTCTCAATCTGAGCCTCAGTTTCCTCCTCTGAAATCAGACCAGCTTTGATCTGGGAAGCACATACTCTGGGTCTGACAGCCCACAGCAGGTTCAAAGAATGACGGTGATTAGCTAAATGTTAGACTACCAGCAATTTTCTCTTGCCCATAAGGCCCTACACGGAGCACACAGAAGCCAGAGAACCTGCAGACATAGGCTTTTGCCCCTCCCTATGAATCCAAGAAAAATCCAAAGCCCAGCCTTGCCCGGTCAACTGCGAACTACTTTAAATGTCTGCCCTGCATAGTGAAGAGGATTTAGAAGGAAGCCTAGGAACCCAATCGGGTCCTCGCACCTGGGGGAGGGGGTGTGGCCAAAGCCCTGCCTCGCTGAGGCCTGGTGCTCAACTTGTGCTTGAGTCAGTGGGCTGGACTCCCAGCTCGGGTCACAGCCTCAGTGGAAGCCCTGGCAGAGGTGGACATTCATCTTTCCCCATGCAAGGCAGGCTTTGGTTTGGCCACACTCCTGGATAAGGACACCTAGCCTGAACCCTAAGTGCCCTTTGGGGTGACCCATCAACACAGTCAGTGTGGCAGGTGACAATCAACAAGACTTCTTACCTGATGTCACCAGTGACGTCATCCCTTCCAAAGGACTCCCACACTCTCCCTACACTGGAGCCCTGCCTCCAGGGAAGGAGACCTGGGGAAAGCGGGGAAGCTCACCATGGCCTCCCGATACTCTTTGCTCTTCTCGTTGCGCTTGGTGTCGTAGATGGAGATGCTTAGTGTATGTGCCTCCTCCTCCTCTTCCCTGAGCTTCAGGATCTCCAGCACCTTGATGGCATACAATGGCGGACGTCCACATCTAAGACCCTCTCTCTCCGCCACATCCGCCCTCTGGGAGGACCTTACCTCCAGCTCTGACTCCCAGGCCTGATGCCGGGACAGCTTCTCTTCATTCTTCAGTTGAATCAAGGTCTCATACTGGTAGAGAAGTTTCTTGGTGTGCTCCATGGGCTCCACCTGGGACCAGAACCACCACAGTAACAGAGAGGCTGCAACTGGTCGGGTCTAGGGGCCACCAGGCTTAAATTGACTACCTTTTTCTAGCTGGGTGATCTCAAGCAAGATGATTAACCTTTCCAGACCTCAGCATCCCTGCCTACAAAGACATAGTAACAAAGAGGGACCAAAGAAAGATGCAGAGGGGCTGAGGGCTGTGCCAGAGAAAGCTAACTAGAATAAGAAGATGAGACCATCTAGGAGATGAGACACCCTGCCACCTCCAGGATGGGTCCCTGGGATCTGGGGTGTAGGCTCCCCAGAGGTGGAAGTGGGGACGAGGATGTCTCAGTCTGCTGGATTCTCATTTTGATGGAAATGGGACGAGTCTCAGAGGAGCTGCAAGGAACGGATCCTCGGATGGGAAATAGACGTGTTCCCAGGGACAGAGATGGGTTTCACCATGGAGACTTAATGGGGGAGGAGTGGAGGAATCCACCTGGGGTTTCCCAAGTTGCCAGAAAAG